AGGAAGCAAGGTGATAAAATATACCAGGAATATATAGCAACTATAAATATATATGCAACTAGCAGCAGAAACCCCCAAAATACAGAGCAAAAATTAGTAGAACTGAGGGGAGAAATCAACAAGTCCAACAGTAATAGTGGGATATTTAATATTATATTTTCAGCAATGAATAAAACAACAAAGCAGGAGAACAAGGAAACAGGAGACTTGAATAACAGTGTAAAGGAACTTGACCCAACAGACATTTGTAGACCATTCCATTCAACAACAGCCAAATACACATTCTTTCAAGAGTTCTTGGAACACCCTTTAAGAGAGACCACATACTAGAGTATAAAAGAAGCTTTAATATACTTAAAAGGACTGAAATGATACAAAGAATGTTTACCAGCCACAACAGAATGAAACTGAAGAATCAATAATGACAAAAGTTTTGAAATTTAAAAAATGGTGAAATTAACACATTCCAAATGACTAATGGATTAAAGAAGAAATCATAGAAGAAATTAGAAAATATTTTGAAATGAATGAAAATGTCGTTCACTAAAACTTCTGGAATTTACTTAATGCAGTACTGAGAGATATAGTTCCAGATGCAAATGTCTATGTTAAAAAGATTATCTCAAATAAATAATCTGAACAACTAGTTTAAGAAACTATAGGGCCAAGGAGATGGCTCAGTAGAAAAAGCTTCCCTGGCAAGCGCAAGGGCTTAAATTCAATCCCTGGTTCCGCAAAGAGAAGAAAGAAAGAAAGAAAGAAAGAAAGAAAGAAAGAAAAAAAGAGAAGAAGATAGAAAAAGAAATCCAAACAAAAAGCATGTAGGAAGACAGAACTAATAAAGACTATTATTAGTTGATTATTATTATGATTATTAGGTTAAAAACAATAAATAGATTATCTTTTACCATTGACGCATGCAAAGAAAAAGTAGACACAAATCATTACAAACAGGAATGAAAAAGAGGACTTTTCTATTAGCTTACAGATTTAAAAAGAATTATACTGTGAACAATTAATTGCAAAAATTAGATAACCTAGATGAAATGGACAAATTGATCAACAGACAAAAAACTTCTGAAATTAACTCAAGAAAAAATAGACATTCTAAATGCTCCTATAATCAGTACAGAGGCCGAATTAAGAACCAAAATTTCCCCAAAGAGAGCCCTGAGCCAAATGGTCCAGTGGTGAATTTGCTAACTATCTAAAGACATTTGATATTAATTTTTAACAAAGCCTTCTTAAAAGAGAAGCAAAGGAACTGATTTTGTGAAGCCAGTGTTATTCTGATACAAAATCAAATGTGTTACAAGAAAATTACTGATGTGGTATTTTTATGCAATGGAGTACTACTCAGCTATAAAAAGACAAACTTGAGAGCTTTGTAGGTAAATGCATGCAACCAGAAACTACATTCATAAGTGAAATAAACCAGACTCGCATGTGTAAACATTGTAGTTTCCCTAGTATAAGAAACTGAAAGAATAATTAAGATCCAAAAGGTACAATAAATATAGTAAAAGGGAAAGAAACTGTCCTAAAAGAAAGAACTGAAATGGGGGAAAAGAGAAAAAAGGTAAGAGATTAAAAAAAATGTATATATATATACACAAGATAGCTAAGATAATTGTACTAGTAATTTCCATTTTTTTCATTGAAAGGAACAGTTAGTGCTTATATTGTTTGATCAATTTTGCATGCCTGTATCTGGTATTCTGAGTAAATATTTTGAAGATAACAACATGTAATATAGTAAC